TTTTTCAAATGAGCAGCTCAATTCAGATCATTCCAGTGGCTCTCAACCGGGGGACATTTGGCAATAACTCAAGACACTTTTGGTGGTACAGTTGGGGGAGGGGGAAGCTACTGGCGTCCAGCGGGTGGAGGTGCCTGACACCCCACAACGCAGAGGATGATCACCCCCCCAAACCAGCAGAGCCAGGATGATTAGCTCTGCTCTGTTCCCTGAGGGACATGAGAGGCAGGGGGCCACGCAGATGTGGGCATGTGCCATGACTGTCCCAACCACTGTCCTGAAGAACTTTCACATTTCTCTCATTTCCTCCATGGTTATTTCTAAAATACTTTAAGCAGTTTTAAGGAGAAAACAACCAAATTAAATGAGGTACAGGAATCTCTTCAAAATCTCCTCTGATCTTTGTCATTGAACCTACAGACATAGCTTTCATCCAGGTGAAGAAGTCCATTAAATTGTTTATTTTGCTTTCTCCTGATAGCCACTGCCCAGTAGACAGTGGCTGCTCATCAAATGTTTACTGGGTGCACGAGCGGAGGCACAAACGGCAGCTGGACAGCAGGACCTATGACCTTCCACCAGAGAAATTCCAGTTATTTTCAATTATTTATCATGGATATTGTCACGTAAACCCCATGTTTGCTTCCTTGCTTTTCCCCGTGGCAGGCAGTTGGGAGGCGTCCTCTGAGCCACCCTCAGCACCACCGGAGACACACTGACTCTCTCCCCAGAATTATGCTAACACCAGTTTAATTTTGTTTTTGCGGGTTTAATAAGCACGGGAAGGAACACTCAGGTTGTTTGCATTTGGATTAGTTCAAGGTTAGCGAGGCTACACATTTTTCCCGTGATGATTCCTTCTCTGCATATCAATCCGTGCCTCATCCCTCCCCAGAACCTCAGGGCTGAGGGTGAAGAGCTTTCCACCACATCATAAGCTCATGTTACATCGGGAACACATCTCTCATATTAAACCTTATGGTGAAAACTAAAATTAATTTCCAGTGTTGATACACACTCACCTTGTCCACTGAGGACAGCCCTGATCTCATTAGTAAAAATGGAGTCTTCCCTCATCCCCTGGGATAAATGAACGAGAGACGGTCCCTAACTTATGATTCGACTTACAGTTTTCAACTTTACGATAGTGTGGAAGCTATACCCATTCAGTAGAAACCATATGGCGAATTTGGAGCTTTGCCGGGCTAGCATTGTGTGGTGTGACACTCTCAAGCGATGCTGGGCAGTGGCTGCAGCTCCCAGGCAGCCGCGGGGTCACTGACAAACGACCAGTGCTCCACAGCGCAGGCCAGGCTGGGTGCTGAGTTCGGTAGGTCAGGTGGATTAAGTGCATTTTGACTTACAATATTTTCAAACTACAATGGGTGTATGGGGATGTAACCTCATCATAAGTTGAGGAGCATTTGTAGTTGTTTTTCTTCTTCTGTTCATCTTTAGTATTTAAACTCTTGGTTTGGAAATAACTTCAAACTTACAGAACCGATGCAGGAATAGAACATTGCAAGGAAAATCCATATCTCCTTCAGCGAGACTCACCAACAGCATCTTCTCCATCTGCTTTGCCAGCGCACTCTGTGTGTAAACATGAACATGTACACACACACACACACACATACACATACACACACACACACACACACAGTAGGCCTTTTTCTCCACCACAGCCCTGCAGTGTGTGTTTCCTAAGAACAGGAGTGCTCTCCTGCGTAGCTGGCCTGTGTGATCTCAACTAGCCCAGTGATGTCTTTATACCACCCCTTCCCCAGCAGAGGACCAGGTGGTGCCTTTATCTGTCATGCTGTTTTAGCCTCCTTGAATTTGGAATCTTCTCATAGCCGTGTTTGTCTTTTATGATGTTGAGTTTTTTCTTTTCTTTTCTTTTTCTTTCTTTTTTTTTTTTTTTTAACAAATACAGTCCTCCCCCTACCCCTATTTTAATAGTTCATTTAGGGTTTGTCTGATGCTTCCTTGTGACTCCGTGAGGTGCTCCTGGCCAGACATGGGATGCTGTATCTCCTCAGGTCACTGCATCAGGAAGTACAGAAGCCACCTGCCTCTGGTGAGGTTCATGCTGATCACCTCTTTTATTTCTAACTTGCATTACCTGGCTTCTATTGCAGAAGCCAATTTGAGATGTTAGCAGCCACCTCCTAGACGCATTTAAAAAACAATATATGACTCACACATGTATATGCTGAATTGATCTAGGCTTCAGGCCTATTTCTGATTTATAAGACAACAAGTGACACAGGACAAGACTGAACTACACTCTCAGGAAACAGCTGGACAGATCCAGAATGGGGATGGCTTGTGAGACAACCACCTGGCCTCTCCCAAAGCCAGTGTCAGGCCGGCTGGTTAGCTTAGTGGGTGAAGCATGGTGCTGATAACACCAAGGTCAAAGGTTTGGATCCCTGGACTAGCCAGCTGCCAAGCAAAACAAAACAAAAATGAAAAACCAGTGTCATAGGGAAAAGCAGGTATTGCAGATCAAAAGGACTAACAACACACTACAGCAGGCTGTGTTTTCCAAAAAAGTCCCCAGCATCACGTTCCACCCCACATTCTCTTGTGCAATGTGACCTGTCAGAGGAACCCTCCCTGTGGCTCCCAGGGGACTCAGGGGGAGTGATGCGGAGCAGCTTCCGAGGCAGGCTCAGAAGCGGTGAGCATTCCGCCTGGTCCTCCTGGAACACTTGCTCCCTGACACCCCTCTCATCACACACCCTCCAGGAGCCCAGCCCCACAAAGAAGACAGGTCCCAAGAGGTCTCATGCAGAAGGACTCCCAGATGATTCCAGCCATGGCTATTCAGGTCACCCCGGCTGTCTAGTCTTCCCAGACAAGGCCTGAGATCGCAGAGCAGGGTCGGGCCATCAGAGCTGCAGCTGTCTGAACCCCTGACCCCAGGCTCCATGAGCAATCAAGTGGTTGGTTTATGCCAGTAAACTGATATGATGATTAAATATAATAGAACAGAACTGATAGTTAAATATACTGCATCAACCTCACCTGGATTCTAGTGCCAAAAAATTTACTATGTAAGACATTTTTTAATAACGAGAAACGTAAACATGGTCTAGATATTGGATGATACTGGGTAATTACTGCTAAGTTTCTTCAGTAAGATAGCAGTACTGTGGATAGGTAAAAGATGCGCTTATTTTTAGGAAAATACATGCTGAAATATTTAGGAATTGTATATCATGATATCTGTAACTTACTTTCAAATGATTCAGAAAACACACACACAAGAAATGAAGGAACAGACTCAAACAGAACTAAAGTACATATGGCAATGTTAATAATCGCCCAATTAAAGTTGTGGTATGTGGATGATCACTGTATATTATCTCAACTTTTCTGTGTTTAAAGTTTTTCATAATAAAATATGGGGGAGAAGGAACAAATGGATACCTACAGTCCACTCATAAATGTCACAGAGATAAGTGGGAAGGGGAAGAGGAAGGGTGGGGCAGCTACTCTGGGCCCA